TAAAAAATGACATTCAATTTTAATTAAAAATAATATCAATGCAAGTAAAAAAGTGAAAGAATTATTTTGTCAGAAGCTTCAACTGAAAGAAAGATTACATAAGTGCATGTATTGTCAGAAAAGGGATATAATACAAGAAATACGGAAGAAGCTAGAAACCAAAAGCTTGTGAAAAGATTCTTCAAAATTATTGACTATCTCAATTATTCAAGAAAGCTTGATAGATGGCAAAAATATGGGACCCACTCACGATAGCAAAAATATGACTAGAAAAATGAAGAAAAGCTGAAGTCGTGAATTATTTGAAATGATGAAAGCAGTGACGTCAAACTGCTCAATTATTAGAAAAAAAATCGTCAGTCATGACAACTCAGAGCAACTGAAAGCTCTATATATTAAAGGCTTCTCTCCATTTGGAGGCAGAGCCTTCTGCACTAGTTTTCTATTCCTCTCTTTTCTTTCTGGTGTAAATTAATGTGTGCTAGCCACTGCGACTAAATTACGGACTTCTTCCTCAAGATGTCTATAAGCTTTTATTTTAAGCATGTATGATCTTTTATTTTTCTTTTCTTATGAATGATAATAATATTATGTTTTGTTGTATATTTCTATTCTGGTTACGCTCAGCGTAGGAAACAAATTAAAGCTGCGTTCTGCATCTCTGAAGCAATCATGTAGAGTTGTGGTCTGTATGGATCTATATGATCTTGTTGAGTTTTTATCTTCTTTAGAAAACCACGAAGAGAAACATGATATGAACTGGAGGTGTATGGATCAAACGCTAGAATAAGAATAAATAACTTAATATAATATTTTTATCATAATTAAGAAGGAAGCGTATTGGACCCTCTTGTTTAATATAGTCTGCAAACTAATTGAGGAAGAAGATCTTATTAAAAAATGAATTCTAAAAGAAAGATTCGATAAATATAGAAACAAAATTAAGAAATATACAAGAAAGCTTAGAAAGAATAAAATTAAATATTAATGATTATAATCGTCAAACGAGTGACGAAAAATCTCGAAATAAAATGGTATCAGAGCATTTTGGATTCAACCTGAAGAAATAGAGAAGTTTTTGACGAAATAAATCAATGCATACAGGACATTTAATTCAACCTGAAGAAATAGATGAGCTAAAAATAACCCCACCCACTTCAAATCTTTTACTCGACTTTGCTGAAAATTCAAGTTTAGGGAGTAGAAGATATCCACAATTAGATTATATTGACAATTAGAATAAATTATGTATCCAATCAAGAAGATCACTGGAAATCAATCACCCTAAAAATTTAATAAGAACAAAATCTACCATTTCACGACCAAAAGAATATAATAATAATCAACTATTATTCTCCGAATATTTTATTACTCCTGATAACAAATGTACAATTCTACTTGACACTCGTGCACATAAATCACATATTAACAAAAATCTAATTCCATCAAATTACAAAATTTTTTGGCAATCTCATTTGATTAGGTTGAGTTCTATTCTCCTGACGAAAACATAAGAGGATTTCTTCTTGGATGTAAGTTTAGCTTTCTCTACTTCATGCCCGATGTGCTCAGCAAAGAGTTGTACTACTCAGTTGATTGATTACTTGTCAACTCCAATTATCCTGCCAAGTTCTTGAGCTGCAGCCCAAGAGTACAACATAATGAATTATATCACGGGCTTTAAGCTAGTGCAACATGAGTAATTGCTGGCTCTAAATCTTTGACCTCCATGATTTATTGCTAGAATCTAGTGACAAAACTTTCTATGTCCTCTGACAAGTTCTCAGCCATGCTTAAGAACTCTTCTGTGGATTTTGATCACTAGGGAATTGCTCAATAAAAATGTGCTTGAACTCTTTATAAAAAGTGATAAATTAGTTTGGCAGATTACTGAACTAACGAAGAGCCAATTCTTTCCGCCTTAAAATATAACTGACACTTAATTGCATTGGTGATCTTCAACAAATAAATAATTGATTCAATTGATGCAACATGATTAGCAGGATCTGATCTCCCTTTATAATATTGTAGAGATGAAAATTTAAATTTCTCCCTTTGGTACCATGATTTCTCTTGAAAATGTAGACTCTAATGGTTTCTTCCTCTTTTTTTCTCCCCTTCTCTCCTTCCCGTGATTCGAAGGAGAGGAATCTTCACTGTCTAGAAAATAAGTTTTCACTTGAGCTGGCATAAAATAGCAGAGCTCGCCTTGCTCTTGCTGCCAGTATTGCACCTCTTCAAACCATCAATTTAAAAGAAGAAGGCATTTAAATTCTTGTTGCAACTCTATGCACATGCTCTTATTCTTTCCGAATTCTCAATGTCATTTGCTACTTTCATTCATCTATTGCGTTACACACTTTTTGAGTGCACTTCATGTTAATTGAATTTTTATAAATCTAAGTTTCTTTCACGTGCACAGCTCTTTTTCTACTTTATGGTATGATTCACTCTCACTGCACCTAAAAGGATGTTAAATCCTAAATTTTTAGTGGCCTCACACCATCTAAGAAAGAACCTGTACAAATAAGGGTAAATCGAAATTGAGAAAATGGTTGATGAAAATGGAGATGAGATAGGGAAATTTTATTACTTCTATTTTTTTTTCTCTTTCAGCCTCTTGGATGGCTTTCTGTATTTATAGGTTTGGGTTGACTCCGCTTATGAATGGTTACATAAGTGGCTATACCGAAAGAAGTGCATAAATTAAAAAAAAAATACAGTAAATATTTGTATATTGTGTCATATCTAGTGAAGTCATTAGGTTGTAGTGTGAGTTGATAAAGACATTATGCTTTGCTGAATTAACTTATCAGAAGGATATGCTGTATTGGATCATGTGTATTGTTTGACGAATAGGCTTGCCTAATCAAACTAACTGAACTTTGCTAGATGGCTTTGTTAAGATGTATATGTCGAGTTGCCTTGTCAAATTGATCGAATTGAACTTCTGATTTGTGCTTTTTACGAATATATTTGGACTATTTTGATTGGATCGCGTGTTTCAGGTTGTTTCATACTTTAAAATTGGACTCGAGCCTTTTATAAATATACATGAGATGAAGTTATTAATGCCTGTACTCTACCCTAAAAGTTTATGCAGCTCTTTGGCCATACTTGCTGGCGACATTTCCAGGATCTCTTCAACTTTGCTTGGTTTCATTGTAATGATCTTAGGGATGAGTTGGAAGCCCAAAAATTTCCTTGATTTGACTCTCAAGATGCATTTCATGAGATTTTGGTATATATTATATTTTTTAAGTGCAGCAAATGTCTCCTATAGATCTATTATATGTTATGCCAAAGTTTTGCTTTGAATGACGAGTCTTTGAAGTAGGCTTCAATATTTTTGCCTTTCTAAATTTTGAAAATGCTTTCAATCATGTTTTTGGTAAGTCACTACAACATTCTTGTATCCGCACAACATGACTTTGTAGCAGAACAACCCATTGCTGTTAATGAATGCAATAATTTCATGATCAACATGATGTAGCTTAATTATATCTTGAAAAGTTATGAAGAATGCTTATGATAGTCAACTATTGATTCAACCAAAGTGTCTCATTACAGGAGTGAATTATTGTTCTCAGGACATGTTTGGTTTTGATTTCTGCAGTTGAACCACATCCTCATTTTCCAATTTGCTGTCTGGACCATAATGACATTAAAAATGACATCTTGCAGTTTTTTGACCTTACTGTAGATAGGCTCGTTGAAATGTCATTGTAAGTAGGTAATTTTTAACTTGATCGGTTTGACCTATTGCCAATGTTCAAGCGGTAGTTGGTGATGTTGATGTCAACTAGTGATGTTGATGTCAACTACTAATGTTCATTTTGATGTCAACTACTAATGTTTTGGATGTGGACCAAGCTAATACAAAGAATTTGATCTAAATGTTCAAATGAGTTGTTCACATGAAGGGGGTGATTCAAAGTCATTGTTTGTGATGATGATTTTTTCTACTATCTTGAATGTCTCATGCAAGTTATTCTAAATGGACAACGTGTTCAATGTTTCTTTGACAAGCCTGATTGCTTTAAGGTAGCATGCTTAGGATTGCTTATCAGTTAGAAGATTTATCCCCACCTTGAAGTTGTTGAGTTGTTTCTGAAACATGATGTTATGTCACTGGGGAGTCAACTATAATGAAGTTGAACTTGAGATTATATTGCTGCTCACCCTCTCCATAGGTTATCAAAGTCGACTACACATCCCTGTTTAGGGCAGACTAGAGGCATTAATAACTTCATCTCATGTATAGCTATAAATGGCTTGAGTCCAATTTTAAAGTATGAAACAACCTGAAAGACGTGATCCAATCTAAATAGTCCAAATATATTAGTAAAAAGCACAAATCAGCAGCTCACTTCGATCAATTTGACAAGACAACTCGACATATACATCTTAACAAAGCCATCTATCAAAGTTCAGTTAGTTTGATTAGGAAAAATAATAAATATTACTTAGCCTATTCGTCAAACAATACACATGATCCAATTCAGCGAATCCTTCTGATAAGTTAATTCAGCAAGGCATAATGTCTTTATCAACCTAATGACTTCACTAGATATGACACACCATAGAAATAGTTACGTACTATATCTTTTTTAATTTATGCACTTCTTTCTGTATAGCCACTTATGTAACCATCCATAAGTGGAGTCAACCCAAACCTATACATAGAGAAGGCCATCCAAGAGGTTGCAAGGAGAGAAAAAATAGAAGCAATAAAATTTCCTCATCTCATCTCCATTTTCATCTACCATCTTCTCCATTTGGCTTTTCCTTTCTTCGTACAAGCTCTTTCTTAGATGGTGTGAGGCAATAAAGTCTGTATGAATGTATATGAAGTAAAAGATATAAGTTCATTTATCTTTTCTGATATTTAATAAAACCCTTGGTGAAATTAAATGATAATTACCTTAATATTAGCACATCTTACTAAGTTGACTTGTATTTAATGTCCTGAGAGCACGACTTGATGACTGTATGAACAGGCTGAAAAGCAAATTGAGGTGTATACTAAGCAAGGGTTCTCAGATCTTCCCATATGTATGGCTAAAACCCAGTATTCATTCTCCCACATCCCTGCTAAAAAAGGTGCACCAGAGGGGTTTGTGCTTCCCATTCGCGATGTTAGAGCTAGCAATGGAGCGGGCTTCATCTACCCACTTGTTGGAACAATGAGCACAATGCCAGGGCTTCCAACAAGGCCATGCTTTTTTGACATCGATTTCGACATCACTACTGGTAAAGTACTTGGTCTCTCTTGAGAGTTTGGTTCTGTCCTGTTTCTTCTCAGTCTTGATTGTTGTGGCTATATTGCTGTCTATTTGTGTTGAATAAACTATTGTACACGGCACTGGTTCTCTTGTTCTCTTAATAAAATTGAGAAGTTTTTTTTTTTTTTTGTTTTTATCCATATACCTTCTAGATTTTATATTAAGGCCTCTGATTATTTGAAAATTATTATGTTTTTTTTCACTGACCCGAATTTAACAGATCTGTCTGCCAATTTATGCCTCGTTTAATTGTTTGTTTTATTTAAAAAATCATTTTATCATTTTTCCATTGCTTTGTAACTTTGTTTTATGGCCACTGTTTTTTATTGGTTTAAATACAGTGGACCATAGGATCAATTTTTTTTTTTTT